ATGCTTTATATACCATTTTGTAGCTCGTGAAATTCTCTATCGAACGGTGTATAATAGTTGGGATTCCATTTGACTATGACAGGAAAAGTGTTTTACGAATGTGGAGATAGGTCGATTTTCCTATAGGCAGCCTTGGGGAAAAATGGGTATTTTTTCAATAACTCAGGAACGGCTCGGCCAATCCTTCTCATCTTCGAACTCGACCGAGATATTGTTGAGACTAAACTGTGTAGAAAATTTCATCGCGATCTGAGTCTCCTTTCGAAAGTTATCGTGTATACGGACGGACGGACGGACGGACGGACGGACACACAGACCGATTCTAGTAGTGTACTCACTTTTTGAGTACACAAAAAGGAAAACAAATAGAACATCGCATCAAGATTGCATTAAATTTATTTTGCTTAATCCGACGGCCAGAAAAAAGAAAAAAGTAGTAAATATCACTGTATTGTTTATATGTCTTTTATCAAGACACTGGCTGTTACGCATTGAAGAATTCTTTTATTTTATGGGAAAGTTTTAGAGGAGCTCCGTCTATATGAGAGGAATGAGACATCGTCTTTTTGAATTGTGATGACTAGATATTTTTTTTCTATTGACTTCATCACTCTTCTATAAATAACATATTTGAGATAGAGAATATGGAAGGCTACGCAATTTTTATTTATACAATAGAGAGCTGTTGGATTGATATGAAACAGATATAACTCTTATTCACTATAATACGTGTTGAAAAGGAGAGGGAGAGAGAGAGCAGATTATTTTAGTAAGCTCAATTACTCATCGAATGGATTGTGTCTGAGCTTAGACCAACAGCTAAAATTAGGATTAATAATTAGTGCTGAATAGAGAGCAAGAGTGAGACATAGCCTTAAATGTAATGTTTGTATGTAATGTTGGTAAACAATCTAACATGTGGCGTTTAAAACGCATCAACCATCAATATAACAAAGCAAGAAGTGAATAGTAAAAATAAAAATAAAGGACGGAAAATTAACACATCGAAAATCTATCGATACTATGCACATCAAGTTTTATTCAGTTCCATCACAATTCAAGACAATTGACTGAGAAAGAAAAGACAGAAAGAGAATGATGATGAATAGGCAAATAGTAAAAGAAGCTTGAATGTTTCAAATAAAGACAAAAGTCATTATGATGCATAAATTTCCATCTTCTACAATGGTCGAACTATACATTTTGTAGTAGATGAAATAAAAAAGTCGTCACCTTTTTTTTTTACAAATTCGGCAATGGTGAAACTGTTGACTCATATTCAGGTTTAGAAGTCAGTCGGAAAATATTCAAAACAAAATCTATATTGTCTTTCTTGCGAATAATAGTCATGGTAGAAGAAAATTTGCTTAGATGATTCTAATGGCGAGATTGATTAGCTTTGTTCTTTCATTTATTCAATTCCCGTATCACAGCAAATAAAATGAATCCTCTTATCTCCTTTTTTATGTATCAAATAGATACATTTAAATAAAAACAAATAAATTCCACTTTTATTTCGATATTTCAAAGACATTTTTAAAATTATTTTCTGTATTACAACATATGAAATTGATTGTATTCATGTAAAAGCTGTGATTTTAATCAAATTTTGAAGAATATAGGAATGTTCTAGTTTAGTATTATTATTCTTTTTACTGAATAAAACTTTGACATTGTAAACAATGAAACTATTATTATCGATGAAAAAAAAAACATAAATATCGATGTATTCTCTATACACACGTGTAAGTAACACGAGACAGAAAAGAAAAAGAAATGAGACAAAAAAAGAGATAAAAACCAAATTAAAAAGAGCTTAAAAAAATTAATATTAAAACACGAGAAGACAATTTAACAAGAAAAAATAATCTAACCTAACAGAACAAGATACATACACACATGCAATACGAATAAAAGAAATTTAATATTGATACCTTTGATGTAATGTGTATTACAGTTGGTGATGATGTTTGTTTTGTGCTGAACGAACAAAGTTGTCGATCGACTTGTACATGTACTTTTTCTTTTTTCTCTTGCTGTTCTTCTTCATGATGTTAAAAGGGAACAACAGAGAGAAAGAAAGAGCTCATGATAATGATAAGTAGCAAGCACATGCTAAAAGAGAACAATAAATGACTCACACATCTGCAACTTTTGTCCAATATTAATACGAGAGAAAAAGACAAAATAAAGATTTACTACTGTCTTCGTGAAACTTTGATAAACTATTCTATCTATTTAGTACCATAAAAACTATGAAGCTTAATACTAGTTTTCTCTATTATGAGATGGAAACTATAACAACATTATCATGTATTTTTTTTATCGTTTATTATATAGCTATATCATGATGAAAAAGTATTAGAATAAATCACTCAATGAAGTAAATAAAAGAAATTGAACTAAATATGAAAGGATGTAAAATAAAATAAATGTATAATATTTCGATGTTTTTTCCTTGTAGCATCATCAGATATGTATTGAACAATTAAATACAATGATAATGAATAATTTAAATAATTCTTCATTCATATAAAATCAATGAATGTAAAACAAAAAAAAAAGAATTTTTCTTTTTTGTCATTCGTATCTAAGTTTACATTTAAAGAAACCGAAGCAACAGTAATAAATAAAGAGATTGAAGAAAAAAAAACAAAAAAAAAAGAAATATTTCGGATCATAAATATTGCTAAAATAGACCATTGAAGAAAAAAAGGGAAATGTATGAACTATAGAGATTACAAAGAAAAGCAATTGAACTTATAATGAGGGTGGACGTGGGTGTGTCAAGCAATGGCATGATCCAGATTGGGACCTTACTAAGAGGTCTGGTTAGATGGCTTATATATATATTGGATTCTACTTTGAATTAAATGGAGTGGAAAATTCAAGACAAGATTTCAGTCTTCAGTATTGCAATCTCTGTTCGGCTTCTTTCGTTGTTTTGTAGTTTTTGATGAAACTCCTTTCGCAGCATCCACATCATTGAGATATGTGCTGAAGACGTAGCTTTAATAATACCTCGATGATTGGAGAGAAATTGAAGAATTTGTTTCGTTTTCGAAAAGTAATTTGGTAGAAGATCGAGCATGGAATCAATAGTAAGTATTTCAGTAGATTTAGAAATGTCTTAGAAGAACAAGCACGCAATGAAAAGCAGCCATTTTCTTAGGTATGAAGCGTGTTAGGAGTCTTCTTTGGAAGCTGGCTGTATCCAAGGTTGTATCGTGCGGAAAATTTGTGCTTGATCTGAGGAATTCGTGATAAAACTCGTTTTTTTAGCACCCACAGTATTGTTATATGTTTGTGAGAAACTGAGTGAGCCATGGTTGCAGAGAGCTATATAAAATATGAAGTTCAAATGTTTTTCAATAGAACTCTCCGATGATAAGTGATGTTTCAGTGTAACGGTTCATATTAGTTGAATTGAAGCTTAAAAATGTGTGGGATAAAATTGAAGAACGGGTTTTTGCGCTTTTTGAGAAAAGTTCAAATAGACATCCACATCTTAGCATAGTACATGCAGAAGATGTTTACAGTGAAACGTGTGTTTAAATTTCATTGGACAGTTTGCGTAAGTGTAATATCCAGCAAGAGTCCTTGATATCAACTTACTGTTTTGCTTTTTTGGCATCTGTCAGTACTCTCGAGAGATGTATTTGAACTACGATAAGAAGGGTTCGAGTTACAAAAATGTACACTTTATGTTTGAGCTAAAACTTCGAGCTGGTATCGTTATATATCTGCTGTATGTCTGACGTATGTCTCCCACAGTGCATCTGTTCCAGAGCTGTCAACAGGTCACTTTTTTTAGCCTGGCCTGAGCAGGCCACCTGGAAAAGCAGGCCAGGCAAAGAAAACTTGACTTGGTCTCTGGCCTGACCTGGCCTGGCCTACAGGTTTATATTACGTGTTAAAATTGTAAACGATATTTCAAACATAAATATGGATCAAGTAATATATTTATTAATGTTACTTAGCATTGATCTGACTTTTATTTTTACTTTCATAATAACAATAATACGAAAAAAAAATGTACTCATAAATTAGAAGATAAAACACCAAGAAAGGGACTATAACTCTTTCACCAAAAAATAATAACTATTAGCCATTTTTCACATTTTGACTAATTTACAATAAATTATAACAAATAGAATGCAAGAAAGAAGAAAAGCAAAGGAAAGAGTTTTGAAAATAAATAAAACATTAAGTACAATATTTAAAAGAAAAAAAAAGTACTAATCTTTATATAAAAAAAACATTATATCTTTCCCTTAATCTTTTCTATGGCACGGATACATATAATGTTATCAAGTTGTTCAGGATCTAAACTATTTCGTCTCTCGCTGAATGCGAGTCCAGCGATACTGAATTGGCGTTCTACGACTGCGCTAGTTGCTGGAATTGAGTGAATTTCTCTAGCAAGTCTAGAAAGACATGGAAATTCATCAGCATTACTTTGCCAAAATTCAAGTATATCAAATGAATACTGTTTCATGTCGACTTTCATTGATAAATATTTGTTTAATTCATCGGATTTTGTAATTGGTAATGAATATTCGACGCTCTTAACATCATCATCGTCGCTGCAGTCATCATTTTCACTAGCTTCTGGATCATCTTTGAAATCATCTAATATCGATAACTGATCAGTTTTTAATCGTTTGTTTTTCTGCGATTCACTGTCTATTTTGATTGATGGTTGATGCATGTTTTTCAATTTTTCACGAATAAATTGATGACACATCATTTTTTCATGTGTTGAACAGCCACGTAAAGTACGATAATCAGGATGGAGTATGGTAGCACAGTAGTGTCGCGAATCTAATTCCAACATATTGGAAAATAAAACAGATGTACGTTCACGAATGTATTTTAAACCTAAAGAAGTTAAGTTAGTAAATGTGAATTCTGTTGTTTTAATTACCTTCATCTTCTTCAAAATTAAAATGATTATCATCATCTACATTATTATATAATTTCTTGTTTGTTTTCTCATCTAATGCATATTTATTCACGTGATCCAATAAACTATCAAAAGAGTTTAGTACCTTGCGAATAGTTAAAGTGCAAGGTAATACCAGGTATAATGTTGGTTTTGACCCTGCTTGTATTAATTTCAATACTGACTTAAATGGCGTTAAAAATCGTACAATATCCTCCAACAATATTTGACTAATAAATGTTAAACAGGACTGGTTTTTCCAACGGCTTAATATAACTTTTATTTCCGTGTATGATGTGCGAATGCTGTCTAATAAATCGATCAGGGAAAGCCATCGAACATTTGTAGCTTGTCAAATTGCGTTGCCATCAGCTGCTTGAGTCTTCTTATTTAATCCTGTCTATGAAATAGAAGAAAACTTTAGAAAATAAATTTTAGTGAGATGCTGTTATATATATACTTTTTTAATATATTTTGTCAAAAGTTTACATTCGACAATCGTTCTTATTACTTCTTGAGCAGCTGGTGGTATAGCGTTAACTTTAATTGTCATTGTTGTTTCTTCAATACCTCGAACAGATAATGGCAATTTCTTTTTTTTAATTTGAATTAGATTTAACATTTTATTGAAACTGTCACCATCATCTTCATCTTCTATTTCGCTGCAAGAAGAGCCATTATAGTCAGGTGGTAACAATGTCATTAACGAGATTTTATTGTGTTGAAAAAATGTTCTTCTTAAAATATTGTTAAGTCGATGTGCATAGCATAAAAGTGGATGATGATATCGGAATGCTTTTAAGAAGTTACTACCTCTATCACAAACGATTGTGGCTTTATATAAATCATCAATTCCAAAACGTAAAAGTTCATTTTGTAATGCCTTAA